TTTACATTTATTTTCTTTTAGCCAGGAAGCAACCTGATGTGCTCTGTTTTCAGTAGCATCCTACTAAAATAGTAAACCAAGCTATATTTTGAGAGACTTTTGCATGTAACAATATATTTTAGAACTTAGAGAATATTAGAGAAGACAAATAATGTTAAAAACTATTACGTCCCTGAGAATTGTATGATGTATTCCAGATCAAAGTATTTCTTTAAAAGTACTGGAAACCTTCCATTAACATAGCTGCTTAAACTTCTCCCCAAGAAAGAAGTCTTTCTGAAAAGTTAGGAATATTATGAAATGACTCACTTTCCATTTAGTAGATGGTTCTCAAACAATCCTTACTCTTTACTTATGGGCATTTAGACTTTGATGTCTGAAATACTGGCTTTTAGCACATCAGTTATAAAGAAAGCTTAGCAAAAGATGTATTTCATGACAATATTTTTTTTAATCCAAAGGAGGAGATGGGATTTAATTGAAGGAGCCACTGGATAGTGGTTTTGGAAATACTGACTTTCAAACTGAAGCTAAGTCTTTATAGCATGAAAAGGTTGGACTGCTTCATCATCAGAAACATAGCTAGAAGTAGAACCCAGATGTCCTAGGAAGCGCTCAAGGACTTTGTTTTATTTAGCAGCATTTTATATAGGACAGGTCTAATAGTATATGAGGTAAAAAGCATGTCTGTTGTTCTCTAACACAGTGGTACTTAATTTGGGGGAGTTTATAGACCCTGCTGAAAATAACCAGCTGCCATTAGTTGTATACCATGTATGCAGGTCACTTACATGTCTTATTTTTAACCCACACAATGTCCCTGGAAAGTATTACTTGCCACTATACAAATAATAAAGGTTAGAACATGTTAAAATAAGTAGTCTATACTCCTGGTAGCCAACTCAGAGAAGAATTGAAATCCTGACTTCAGCTCTGATGGGACTGGAGTTTGGACTCAGGGCTTCAGGCTCACACAGCAGACACCACACCTCCAGTCCATTTTGCTGTGGTTTTTTTGGAGATGGGGGTCTCATGAACTGTTTGCCCAGGCTGATCTCAAAACTACAATCCTTCTGATCCCAGCTCTTATGTAGCTGGGATTGAGGGTGTGAGCTACCAGCCTCCTTCAGCCCGTGCTCTTTACACTTCACTAGCAGATCTCAACTTATGTTCAGCCTCCTCAGTGGTATCTCTCAGGAAATTGTTTGCAGGTGATTTTTTAAAAATGGAACAGACTCAAGCTTTCTTCCTTAGTTCCTTTTTGGTGGGAAAGAGAAACATGAAATTATGGCCATTGAGCTAGTTGTTTACTGTGAGTGTCAAGTATGTGAGTATCCTTGTCAAAGGGAAAGAAGGCAACCAAAACAATGGAAAAATAAAACCTAACATTGATGAGGAAAGGAGTGAGACAAACCCAACTTGAGCTATTTTTTCCTTGTTCCTTTAAAAAAACGTGTTTTTGTCACTATCAGAGTATAATTTTCAGTTAAAGGAGAACTCTGGGTTAAGTGATAAACTATATCAAAGAGTTTGGGAACAATTAGGATACTTTCAGAGTCAGTTTTACATTTTTCTAAATCAATTTTTGTTTTCTTAGTATTAGTTCAGAAGCAGGCCTAGAAATTGATAGCCAGCAGGAAGAAGAGCCTGTTCAGGCATCTGATGAGTCAGACCTCCCTTCTACCAGCCAGGATCCTCCTTCCAGCTCTTCTGTAGGTAAGTTTCTGCTCTGGTACAACTTTCATAGCAAACTTGTTTGCAAAGACACTTAGAAATAAAACAATAATCCCTTTTCCCTGAATTTTGAAATGCATTATTTAGTTTTACCATTAAAGGGAACTTGGTTTATATTTACATCATTATTGTATGAATATTTGGGCATCAATAATTAGAAACATGGACAAGGTGGATCTTTCGCAAAAGAATACTTCACTCACATTTCATTCAGACAGTGGCAACCTCTATCCTGTAGAACTTTTGAGTCTCTTAGAGGTGTAAAGAAAGAACTGTTCAAGATTCAGAGAAGTCCTATGAGGCACAGACTAATTTCCTACAGTGGAACACTGTGCAGCATTCTAACTTGCTATGTAAGCTGCTTTTAGAATGGCTTAGGGGAAGGAAGTAGTAGTTAGAAGGAAGCCAAAGTGGTACTCCAAGCCTCTTGCTTCTGTTTGAACCTGAGCAGTGTCTGTATGGTCTATGTATTGAGGTTCTACATGCGACCCCATATGGCGGATTGAGGGGTAGGGACTCTGTTGCTTGAAAAAATATGCTTAAAATTTACTAATGTAAAGAGTTTCAGAGTTTGGCTTTTTATATTTTTGAAGTTAACTTTGGAAAAGTATATTATTATAATGCTATTTCTGCAGCTTTTTTAATAATAAGTTAGCATTTATTGACCACTCACTGTGTCCTATTTGATCTCACAGCAACCCAATGTGATAGGTACTCATCATAGCTTTATAGATGTGGAGACTGAGGCACAGAAAAATTGAACAACTTTCATGGCCACGTACCTAATAAGTAATGAGAAAGCCAAAATGAAAATTCAAGTTTGGCCCCAGAGACACTACTTTTAAATTAGATATTATACTAGCTTATCTCAAATTTTTTAGGTAGGGAGTTACCTTTATTATTGAGGATACATAGCACTCTGTCAACCACTCTATTTTCATTTTTAATTGTTGATAGCAATAATTCTGAAACTTCTATGGAACCTTAAGATTTTGTGACAAACCTGCTCAGTTACTACTATTCCACAATCCTGTGACTTTGCTATCCCATGATATTTACCTAGCCCTCTTAGCAGTTTTTCTGTGAAACATCAACCTAATGGCCAACACTTCTAGGTTCAGATCTCATTGCCACCTTTCAACAACTATTAACTTAAAATACCTACACATTTTACTATGAAACGTAGATTTTCGTAGTAAACAACAAATTTTGCAGTTGTACTTAGAAATTATATATGTAATTGTAGAACTCAGTGCTTCATGTACAGAAGGCTCAAAAATTGTAGCTCCAATAACAAAATTACTGAGGTTCTACATCCTCAATTATATCAATTCTAGGAGAATTTTCTTCAGTAGTAGAATTGACATTGGTTATATATTTCTTACTAGAGCTTGCATGAAAGAATATGGTAGTTGTTTCTGTAAAATTAGAATGCCCTTAAATTTATTTGATTATGTAAAATACTATACTCCCCCATCTGAGCATTTGGTAATCAAATTTGAGTGTCTGCCATATACCAGGCAGTTTCATAGTAAGTATCACTAGGAAATGACATTTAAGTAAAGGCCTGAAAGAGTAAAGGCATCAAGGCTGTGAACTTGCTTGGAGGAAGAAAGTTCTGGGTCAAAGAAAATCACAGATGCAAAGTCCATAAACAGCATGGTGTGTCTAATGTGTTCAAAGTCAGCATGGAGGCCAGTGTGGCTGGAGCAGGATGAGGATGGGGACCACAACAGGACAAATAATAGTGGTTGGAGAGAATAGATCAAGTAGATCTTCATCATTGCCTTGGGTTTCATGGATATAAGAATCTATTGAATGACTATCAGTTGAGCTGTGGCATATTAGAAAATACTGAGTAATAGAAACAAGAAAGTTTGGAATCTATTACAGCAATTCAGAATAAAGATGATAGAGCTAAGGTTGTAGGAGGTAGTAAGATTTAGGATGTATATTTAAATTTGAGCTGGCAGGATTTGCTAATGTTTAGATTTGAGGTGTTTGATAAAGCAGGAGTCAGCTGTGACTTACATTATATTATAATGGGCTTGTCTGCTGAGCGACCTAATACTTTGTTTTCCATTGTATTCCCATGTACCACGTTTGATACATGGGAAGCCACCAAGTAAGTATTTATTAAATTAGTTGAGTGAATGAATAGAAAATGTCAAAATTTTTCCTAGTTTTCTTGGGGTTTTTGTCTTGCTTTTTACCCTTTTTACCCTTTTTTATTTGTTAAATGTCATTTATTTTTAAAAAGCAAACTTGAATATTGAAAGCAGATAGACACATTTATATTTTGTCCACACATTTACTTAGTAATTAGGTTTGTCATTGTAACTACTTTCTTATTTTAATTTGCTTTTTTTATATCTTAATGTTTTTCTCAGATACTAGCAGTAGTCAACCAAAGCCTTTCAGACGAGTAAGACTTCAGACCACATTGAGACAAGGTGTCCGTGGTCGTCAGTTTAACAGACAGAGAGGTAAATTTCTGATATACTAATTACATGACAGAGTGTGGGATAATAATAAGTGGAATAAGTTTTCTAATCCTTAAGCTTCTAATTTGTCTGTTTTAAATGTCCTAGCATTGATTAAATAATTTCACATTATTGAGCATGTGATATTTACTAATCAGGAAGCTTCTTATAGTCAGGTTTATACACCATAGGCATATATTGAGTATATATTTATGATTTATATTTGTTGATTTCTTCCTTAGATCCAAAGTAAGATTAGGAAAATCCAGTGTCATAGTTGCTGTTTGTTCATTGTTAATATCTCTACCTGTTGTCATTATATTAAGTATTTTTTATACAACAGAATGAAGTTTTCTATCTGTTGTAGCTAGTAAAAAATGTAAAATTTTAATATTTCCATGTTTTCTAATGTAACAATTAGATTGTGTTTTTAGTCCAATTGTTACAATGATTTCCATTAAGCATGTGGAATATCTAGTAGTTTTATGTCCATAATGCTTGGGTATTTAAATTAAAAATAATCCTATCTTTTTAAATGATTCCCTTTTTTTAATTCTTATTTTTTCTTCTACAGGTATTAGCCATGCAATGGGAGGAAGAGGAGGAATAAATAGAGGAAATATTAATTAAATGGTCTGTAAACAATAATACCTGTGAATAGATTTGTCAAATCTGTTTTAGTGTAATGATTGTTGAGTTGAAAAACATTTTTGTATTTAAATTGGTATGCTCATCTCAACATTCTTTATTAATAAAAAGTTTTTCAATGTCAGAATTTATCATTCTTCAATTTAAGTGGATGACTCTTCCTTTCTCCGTCAATCTAAGGACAGTTATACCAGACTTTGGAGAGGGTCTGCCCGGATCGAGTAGTAATTGCTCTTGCTGTTCTGCTAGGTACATCGATGTTATAGTATTGATCTAAGTGGAAAAGAAATCATTTTTTTAATTAAAAAAACAAAACGCTTGAAGTCAAAAAATAATTTGTATTGATTACTGTACTCAAAGACAGTGCTTATCATTTTAATATCAGAAATGTTTTCATTAATGAATTTGAACTCTCTGACAAAAAAAATCAATCCTTTGACAGAAGACCTTTCAACATCTTTCAGCAAAATTAGGTCCAACTATCCTTTTTCAAAAAAAGCATTTAAGAATATCTGAGTTATTATGAACTGTAATTCACTTGGGTTTTCCCTTTTTAAAAAATACATTTTGATGACATTTTGTTAGAGAAACATTGGCAGAACAAATTAGATTTCTAAGCTTTTCAAAGAAAAGTGTCCTGGGTAATATAATTTAATTAATAAAGCTAGTTTCTCAGGAACATCTTTCTCACCTTACGGACTGTGTAAGCTGTTGAATGTCACAGATGATAGAAGTAAAATATCATTTTCAGTGCTAGTTTTACCCAACTAATTGGATGCTTCACTAAAATCTCATAAAAGATACAGTGGAATTGAAATGTAATTGGATCTACTGTATTTGAATTTAAAGCAAAAACCTCTCCCTTAGTCATAGCAATTATAAGTATTATACTTGAGCTTCTTACTTTCAGTATCATTGTACACTTACTGTTTTTACTTTATATTTATACTTTCACTAGTGAGATCAACTTGGTAAGCAACTAAGACTTCACCTAATAACTAACTTACCCTTCGAAAAGGCATAGTAATCATAGCCATCAGGTTTTCTGATGTTGGGCAGTGTTATTGCTGAAGTCACCACATTTGGAAACCCTCTCCACATTGTGCTCACTTTAACTTCATTGTGAGGAAACCTGCAGATGACGATTTTAATCAAAGGTATCAGGTTAAAAGGCAATATGCAATTTTACAAAGAGCTAAATAAACCCTGGTTTTAATCTGAGTTTGTACCTCAGTGCCTCAGTGCCTCAGTTTTTACCCTATGATGTGGCACTAGTATCTATCTACCATTTAGAGCTATTTTGAGAATTAAACATTTGAACATAATTCTCTTGATAAGAATTACTTGAGGAATAGTATTGTAATTAACAAACTTGAATAAGCTGCTCTCCTTATCCACAAAGAAAAAGAAAGAATTGATCTTTGGCTATTGAGTAAAGCAAATTCATGTGTTTTACATCGATAAGCTTAAATTATTAGGGCTATTTGTTAAGTATTCATCTTAAGGCTTGATTTATACGAAACTATTATATCTGTTTCATGTGTAGGAGTTTTTAACAGTTAAAATGTTACCTTTGTCTTGATAAGCAACTCGGATGGGTGAGTAGTGAATTCTGATGGTGTGTGTTTGCAAAGGTCCAATAGCCCGTTCAAAGCGACGTCTCCTAACCTGTGCTGCTTCTCCATATACTGAATAATTTATAGCAGGCCTTCTTCCAGGACACTTTCTGATGGGTTCCTGTTTATAAGTATACTGCTGAATGTTGCCACCTGTTATGTATTAGAAAATTGTGTAGAATATGCAAACAGATGTCATTTCCCCCAGAAAAGATGGAAAATAACATTTACATCATGAAGAAAATGATTGATTTTTTTTTGTTTTTCATAAAAATATATTTAGATATTAGCAATAGGTGTAGTTAAGGGCATTATTAATTAATATGAATATAATAATTACTAAACCCTGAAGCACATTAAGGTAGTAAATCTAACAAATTACATAGTTGTATATTTAACTAACTATAAACAGTGGCATTCTTTATATCAGTGACCTGAAAACTCTGATGAACTATGATTTGCATGTCAAGCAGTCTACTTCTTGCTCCACTTTGCATGGCTAAAGTGGAACCCTGAGTTCAAACACCAGTACTGCCAAAAAAATTACTTCTTGATGTCCTTGTTTCCTTTTTTATTGAAAATATTTTATTGCGGCCATTAAAGATACCTTTTGACAGTAAGCCCAGTAATAAAAGAAAACATTAAATAAAAACAGGGTTTTTTTTTTTAAGTTTTGTAAGTTTGTCAATTATGTAACACATACCTCTCTTGAAAAAATACACAGATTCAGGCCTGTTCTTGTATTTAGCTATTGAAAGAGCTGCCACTATTTTCCCAGTCAGTCCTCCAAATCCCTTTGCAATTTGTTTAGGATAACCTGCATCTTTTATATCATTGGTGAAACGCCAGTACTGAGAATCCTAATAATATAAAAGAGAAAATGATGTTAACACTCGATGGGGGTGGAGAGAAGGACAGGAACTCATTTGTAGATTTAATTGTTTGAGTAAGTAGACCATTAATGATTAAAGTTATAATTTTGATGATAGAACAGTTTCTTAAGATAATGGGGACACTTCTGAATTGGAAGTTAAGATGTTTTATGTTACAATAAACTGCAGTTACTATTTGCTGATTTCTCTCATAACAAATTTTTTGTTACCTTAAAGAAGAAAGTTTTTCCTTCACAGTTGCATCTAGTAAAAACAGTGTCAATAGGGGAAGGAATACCCCAAACTTCAGTAATTCTGCGAGGTGGAGATGGTGGGCTGAATGGATTTAGCATCCAGAAATAATGACCTAAAATTTAAAGAGACATGTCAGCCTACAAGCTGAATACTAAAACCTGTCCCCAAAGAAACCAAAATGAAAACAAATTTTAATGGTTTTCTTAAAAACACTGAAGGTATGGCTGGAAGTATAGTCAGATACAGAAAAGAGTTTTTTAATGTTTCTAAATAGATAATTTCTCAAGTCTGAAATTTAGCAAAACCTTTGAAAATTGCTGTCAACTATTTACTAGAAAGAGCCTTTTGGTTTTGTAGCTTATAGAAAGTCACTTATCTCTCTGGATTTCAATGTCTATTTTTTAGAATTAAAAAACAAAGTAATAAGAGCCAACAGAAGTATGTTCATAGCTCACCTCGAAATGCAACTAATGTTCCATTGTGCAAAGTTGTCAATCCGTCTACAGGCTTACCATTGCATAAATTGGTCTCATCTAAAACAAATTAACAAAATCAATATAGTAAGTAGAGAATAGAAAAGTGTGCTCTTTTCAAATCCTCTCAGAATTGTTTGCTGTATATCCTTTTTAAAAATCTCTTGAAGGGCAGAGTTTGAGGTTATTTTCAAAGAAGTGATTTCATAATTGCCATTATACTAAATAGGATTCTATTCAAAAATATTATGTAAAAATTATGAATTGAAATAAGCCAGATTATCTTGATCAGTCATTGCTCTTTGACTTTGGAAAAGAAAATAATACTGCAAAATTTCACTTTGTATTGTACTCTCATAAGAATAGACTCCTGACTAAATTATCTTGACATCTATATACCGTCTCTGCTTTTCACAGACAGGTGCAGTGAACTCATAATGCTAGGTTATTGCTTGATTTTCAAAAGACTAGATAAGCTTACTGTGATTATTTCTCTGCTTACCTATAGGTAAGCTGTAAAACTTCCCTCTACCAGGGAAGGTTGTTAACAAGGTTGAGATTCTAGGTAATATGTCTCAGCACAGTGATACGAAAGCAGGACATTCTGTTTGTGAAATATATTAATCTTATCAATTAGATTTTTTCCTGCCTGTTTATTTATTGGTTTGTTTTTTCTTTGTTTGAAACAGGGACTTACTATGAAGCTTAGGCTATCCTGGAACTCACTGTGTAGCTCAGGCTGGCCTTGAACTCATGATTTGTGCCTCCACCTTCCAAGTGCTGGGATTAAAATTGTGCATCACCACATCTGGCAATATTGCCAGTTTAGAAAATGAAACAACTGAGTCATATTACCTGAAAACATGGAGTTGATGCTCATGCCTTGGTTGGGTCCTCTCACTAAGTGATCGATGCCTGGAATAACGATAGGAGTTAACACAGGGGGCCTGGGAATCATGTGAGGCTTTTCTGCTTCAGCACCATCTATCTCTTCCTTCCCTGGAACTTCAGCTCTTTCTGAGTTTGGAGTTTGGTTAGGGCTGGTGGTGGTTTGGAGCATGACTTCTGCTAGAGAGGTAGGGCTCAATTCAGACACTGTTGGAGTCCTCTTTGGGAGAGTTGGTGTAGTCTTTGGTTTTCTCACTTTAGGAGTGCTAGGTTTTTTGGTAGAAGTAGGCTTTTTGGGTGCTTTGGTTGGCTTTTTCGTAGAGGGCTTTTTGGGTGCTTTGGTTGGCTTCTGAGGTTTTGGAGTTATGGCCTTAGAATTATCAACTGAGTCTTCTGGTGCAGGGGTTGTTTCTTCAGGTTTGTTCATAGTCTCCTCTATTGTAGTTACTTTGGGTGCAAGAGTTGTTTTAGGAGTAGTAGTTTTGAGTGATGTATCTTTTGTTGTGGTGGGTGTTACTTGTGTGGTGGTACTTGTTACTTTGGATTCAGTAGTCTTTTCTTCTGCTGTACTTGCAGTCTCCTTTGTGGTAATCTTAGGTGCAGCAGTTGTGCTTTCCGGTGTGGTACGTGTATCTTTTTCTGTTGTCTTGTCTTTAGCTGTTGAGGTCATTTCAGGTTTGGTCATTTCTGGACTCTTTGTTGTCAGTATAGCAGGCTCCTCAGGACTGTTGTCAGGACCCTTTGGCGTGGGTTCTACAGAAAACAAAGGGGTTGCTTCAGGAGGAGTCTTGGGGGTAGTGGGAGGCTCCATGGTGGTAGTTGGGGCTGGTGTCTTAGGAGTAGTTGGAGCAGCCTTCTTAGGGGTGGTTGAGGCAGGTTCTTCAGGGCTGCTGGGTGCAGGTTCCTCAGGGATGGTTGGAGCAGGCTCTTCAGGGGTGGTGGGTGAGGGCTCCTTGGTGGTTGTGGGAGCTGGCTCCTTGGGGGTAGTAGGTACTGGTTCCTTAGTCATTGTGAGTACAAGCTTCTTGGTGGTAGGAGCAGGCTCCTTGGGGGTGGTGGGTACAGGTTCCTTGGTAGTAGAAGGTACAGGCTCCTTGGGGGTGGTGAGTGCTGGTTCCTTTGGGGTTGTGGGTTCCTTGGTAGTGGTGGGTGCAGGCTCCTTGGGAGTGGTGGGGGATGGTTCCTTGGTGGTGGTGGGAGCGGGCTCCATGGGGGTTGTGGGAGCTGGCTCCTTGGGGGTCGTGGGAGTGGGCTCCTTGGGGGTTGTGGTTGCTGATTCCTTGGGGGTGGTGGAAGCTGGTTCTTTGGTGGTCGTGGGAGCGGGCTCCTTGGGGGTCGTGGGAGCGGGCTCCTTGGGGGTCGTGGGAGCGGGCTCCTTGGGGGTCGTGGGAGCTGGTTCCTTGGTGGTCGTGGGAGCGGGTTCCTTGGGGTCGTGGGAGCGGGCTCCTTGGGGGTCGTGGGAACGGGTTCCTTGGTGGTGGTGGGAGCTGGTTCCTTGGGAGTTGTGGGAGCTGGCTCCTTGGTGGTCGTGGGAGCGGGCTCCTTGGTGGTGATGGGAGCTGGTTCCTTGGTGGTCGTGGGAGCGGGCTCCTTGGGGGTGGTGGGAGTGGGTTCCTTGGTGGTGGTGGGAGCTGGTTCCTTGGGAGTTGTGGGAGCTGGCTCCTTGGGGGTCGTGGGAGCGGGCTCCTTGGGGGTCGTGGGAGTGGGTTCCTTGGTGGTGGTGGGAGCTGGTTCCTTGGGAGTTGTGGGAGCTGGCTCCTTGGTGGTCGTGGGAGCGGGCTCCTTGGTGGTCGTGGGAGCGGGCTCCTTGGTGGTCGTGGGAGCGGGCTCCTTGGGGGTCGTGGGAGCGGGTTCCTTGGTGGTGGTGGGAGCTGGTTCCTTGGGGGTGGTGGGAGCGGGTTCCTTGGTGGTTGTGGAAACGGGTTCCTTGGTGGTGGTGGGAGCTGGTTCCTTGGGGGACATGGGAGCTGGTTCTTTGGTGGCCGTGGGAGCAGTCTCCTTGGGGGTTGTGGGAACTGGTCCTTTGGTGGTAGGGGGTGCAGGCTTCTTGGTGGTGGTAGGCAGAGCAGGGGCTTTGGTCATAGTTTCAGCTTTGGGTATAGGTTTAGCAGGACCTTCAGGTGTGGATGTTTTCTCTGCACTTTGTGTCTCTTTAGCTGAAATAGTTTTCTCTTTTGCACTGGTGGAAGTCTGTTTGTTTGTGACAGTGGTCTCTTTAGTTTTAACTGTTGTCTCTTCATTGTTTGAAGATGCCTCCTTGGATGTATCAGAATTAGGTGGAAGACTGGGTTTAGGATTTTTTGGTTTTACCGTTGTAGTCTTCTGAGATGTGGTAACTTCATTGTGTTGGGTGGTAGGGGTGTCAGGAGTTGGGTCTAGTCCACTTCCAGCTTCATCTACCACTGGTGGTTTGGGGGTTGGTTCCTTTTTAGAAGTTTTTTTCTCGTCTTTTACTAGAGAAAAAAATAAATGTCATTTTTGAATATTTTTTCCCTTTAATAGTGACATGAAGATCCTGTCTTTATCACTGAGTAGTTGTATGTCTCTGGGTAAATTGCTAACCTTTATTTTATTTTAAAATGGTAAATATTCAACCTATTTTGGGGGGTTGTTTTAGAGAGAGAATGAATGAGATAAGGGGTAAAAGTGCAAGTAAAACCAAATATAATTAATACATGGGAACCTGTGGCAACTTTGAAATTACCAAAGTGATCAATAACACTAATTCATCTCTATATTAATGTTCTTTATCCTTCACTCCCCACCATCACCAATTCCTTATTGCTCAGTGCTGCCCCTTCCTCCTGGAAGCCTAGTTCCAAACTCTTACAGTTTTACTACGCCAACTACCAGAGTTCTCTAGAACTACCTCTGTGGCTCAGATCATTCCAAAGGTTTCTGCTGAGCCCTAGTCTCACACATAGGGCTTTTAGCTGTTCTGTTTCCTCTGCCCAGCTAAACTTGACAACCCCAGGGGGATGTAGGAGATGTCTGCTTAAGAGACTCTACTTAAGATTTCCCATAGCAGCTACCCCACAGGTGAACTACAAAGCCCAAGGGGCACTTCACTGAGATGAATTCCATTTGGCAAATATGCATTGTACTTCTATGTGTGTAAGATTCTTGGAATGATTATTCAAAGATTATCTGAGTATATCTGAATATCTGGCTATTCAGCTAGAGAGAGAGAATGCTTCAGAGGAAACCACAATCACCTAGGAAATAGAGTTCTTCAAAAATCCAGTATTTCTAGAAACAGTAGTTTTAAATGTCAGGAGTTATAAAGAGCAGAACAAAGGGAATCTCTTTTCAGGAGATAGCCTACTCTGTAGCACACTGTTCTAGGGAAAAGTCAGCTAGATAAATTATTAGGAAAATAATAAAGAGGCTGTGTAAAGTATGGATAATAAATTTTTCTTTCCATAGAAGTTTATGGAAATTTAAAGGATTAAAATTTATAAAACACTTAAAGCAGTATGTAAGTTGTTTATTAACCTAACCATGAGAGCATGAGAAAGAGGAAGGGGAAGAAAGCACAAGGACCAGAGGAGGAGAATCACAATGGAACACCACAGTCATCTTAGTGGCTCCCTGTGGTTTCATGGTCACTGCTACAGCATCTTATCCTTTGCTCTCAAGACTGGTTTCTTAGTTGCTTGGCACTGATTTCCTGTAGGAAGTTTTTACTTGGCATTTTGAAAATGATTTTTACAAAGTTTTATATACCCCAGATATTGAGATACCATCATCATTCTACCAGTACACATTAGTTTTAAATAGTTATTGTTTACATGGCATTGATATAGTCTTTGATCTTTATCAATGCTCAAACCTTTGGGTTTCTTCTGTAATTCTCTATTAGCAGCTGAATTTTTAGAAGACTTGATTTTCCGAATAGTTGAAGAAGAAGAGGAAGAGGAGGAGGAGGACTCTTGGTTTTCAGAAACAGAATGTTCTATAAATCAAATAAGAAACTTGATCACACCAACAGCAGTTAAAAAAAAAACTGCCAGTCCAAATATAGTAAGAATTGCTGGTAACTGATCTACGTATGTCTCCGGTCTCCTTTCATTTTATTAATAATATCAACTGTCTTCAAGAGCAAGGCACCTGAGCTTACCACACCTTCTAGCAATCTAACTTTCTCTTGACTTTCATACATCTGCCAAAATTTCTCACACAGTCTAATTCTGCAAAACAACATGGGTTTATATTTTTATTTTTCACAGTAGTAGTCCCTTCTGATTACTTTGATAATGAGACCCATGCTGGGTGGTAAATAAAGACTATAAATACCTGAGGGCTTTTACTTTGTTTAAACTTTGACTTAAGTAAACAAAAAGTGTAATGAGTCTCATGTGACTCATAAGATTACCCTCTGAGAATACTCATGTAAGTAGTCCATCTACAAGTTATTTCATCTCAGAGATCTCCTGTAGTTACATCTCTCATCTTCCTACCTTCTGTTATTTCCTCTGATTCTACAACTTTCTTTGTCTTCTTTTTTGGTGATTTGGGTGAACGTTTGGAGGTTGATTTGATGGTTTGAGATGCTCCTGGAGGTGGAGATGCAGTCTTTGAAGGTGGTGGTGATGTGGGATTATGCACTGAGGCCAAGCAAGACAGATTGGTTAACATCCAGTTTATATTCATCAGCAGTACTAACTGAAAATTATGGATGCATCTGGCTTCAAGAGTAGATGCTGGCAAAAGCTAGTGCAGGAAGAAGCTCTGGCCCAATATGAGTAACTTCAGTTCATTCTGAGAATGCATTGCTATAATATACCCATGATTCTCAAAGAATAGTGAATTATAACAGGAAATAGTCTCCTTAATCAAAACACCTAAATTTCAACTTTAGACTTGAAGTGTTTACCATTATGACCTTGTACAAATAGGCTAACCTTCATTTGAACTTTGTTTTGTCATTTGCAAACTCAGGTGCTTATTAAAGATTTCTGAAGGAGTTTACCTCCCTTAAAAATGTGATTCTGTGAGCTTCATCCCTTTTGCCACACTTCTGTGATTAGAAAAATAACACTACCTTTGGGTCACAGGATATTCATGCTCTTGAGAAGAAGACTATGATATATTTTACCTGTTTTCATATACATTTAAAACAAACTATGCCAATTCACCTTGTCGTCATTATAAAAGTTATACATGAGTTGAAAATTTCACACCTACATATTGTGCTTTTCCTCAAAATGTATCACCCTTCTCCAACAACTCTTTATGGTTTGGTATATGACTCCTTAACCTTTTATTCCCATCCCTCACTCCTCTGAATGTCTAGAAGATAAGACAAACATTTTGGATCACTCGGAACCAAGAGAAAAGACAGGAACTTCTGGCAGGTAAGGAGACACAACAGTGAGGACTGTAGGTAGAGAAGAGTTGTGATAAATCCTGCTGCGCCCACCAAATATCTCCCCAGTACTCTCTTGCTGTAGTTGCAATGAAGCCACCCTTGTACTTCTCCCTCTTTCTCCTCCCACTCAGCAAAAATGCCAGGTACCTCAAGTTGAGTAACAGTTCTGCCAGGTTATAATTAGTGACCTGGAATAAAACTGAACCTTGGGTACTTCAACTTGTTGTGATTCCTTCAATGTTAATGATTTGTAGAAATATGTATAAGCAATATCTATATCAACCCAGAAACAACTCAGTGGTGAGTTGCAAAACAGTTTATTGTTTTCTAACGAAGTACTGAAGTTGTGGGTGATTCCTTTGTCTTCAATTTTGTAAATCATGAATTTTGTAAATCAAGTTGCCTTCATCAGTGATTTTCACTGAATTCTACCTAAACCTCAGGTACCCTACACTTCACAGTATAAAGTATTATCTTCATTTAAGATGTTGTTTGAATACTTCATCATGTTACTAACCATCTTCCTTCGCCACCAATCCTCTGCACAAAATTCTTAGGGTGTTTATTTTGGTCTCATAGCCAAAACAATTATATTCCCATCATGGGACCTTCTGAAAGCTGCAGGAACGCTCAGCTCAAGAGTTTTGTTTTGTTTTGTTTTGTTTTTGTTATAAGGGTGTTGTCTCTGTTATTTTTAAATTGCTTTCCAATGAAAACATTGAGCAGTTGAGAAACATCCCTCAACTATGCTGATTAACAATTTCCCACTTTGTTTCTCCACTATTCTAAGGAAGCAGGAGGTACAACCTTGTTTAAATAAAATGATAAGATTATGCAAGCAATGCTTATTTTCACTTTTACCTCCACAAATAGCCTCATTTTAATAAGGTAGGGTTTAAGAACAATTGTTTCTATGGGAAAATAATCTATTAAGTATATTTAATTTTTTAATAAAATCTGCAGAGTTATGTTATAGTCTTAGAGTATTCCTTCAGGTCTTAGAAGATTTTTAAATGAGACTATCCTTTTTATTGACTGTCATGCACAGACTTTTACCAGAGACTATTAAGGGGACTGAGAGGATGGGAAGGAACATATAATTGACAACTTTTTGTAGATTTGTCTGTAAATTTAGTGACTTAAGCTAATTAACAAATTTACTTATTCAGAGAAGCTGGCAGTGTTGACTCTGTCCTTAAATATATAAACATTGAGGCCCAAAGCACAGATAGCTCAAAGAACAGTTTATGTAGTCAGCACAATTAGGGTGGAACAAGAAATCATCGAGTGCATTACTGTTGGTTTAGCCTCAAATTGAACCACAATTAAAGACAAAAGTAGATACACTTAGTTCCTATGCTTCTCTGTTACTCAACCTGCAGTTTCTGATGCTCCTGGAACCTGGCTGGGTCAGGGATGCTGCTGTTGGAAGATGCTTTCTTCTTTTAGTCATCTTCATAAGAAATTATGAAATTGCTTATACATTAATAGAATCAATAATAGGTGGGCTGCATATTAGTGTCCATGGTACCAATGGAGCTAAGGTAGGTGACAGATGAGGCTGTATTGAGGCATTTTGTTAATAGGATACTTACATTCTTCACAGAAGTCTTTGTAGTCAGAACAGCACTTGCCATACTTCTTACACTGAGAGTCACAGTCACACTCCCTCCCTCGTGCAAAGGACTCAAAGCAGCGGCCTTTACAGGAAAGCTCTACCCAGAGCAAAATAAACATGAATTACTGGTTATAAAGGGTTTGATAATAATTTCCCACCTGACAGCTGACTAGAGTTCCAAAAGTGCATTTCTAAGTTTTTTATTTGAAATTTGGAGTATATCATCCAGCAAAAAAAAAAAGAACAATGTCCCAAGTGGAGATGGCTCAAAGAAACATCTTGTCCTTCAAGATGCCAAAAGACACCCCAAATGCTACCTGAGTCATTTGCATGTATGGACAGTGGAAAATTAGGAAAAGTCTAAATAGTGAAGGACCCTGAATATGAAATCCTCCCTCACACCATTGCTTTATGATAGATTTATAGTAATTGAATGTTCATATAACAATATAGTCCAAAGAACTGGCTTAATATAAATGAGTTACTGTTTAAGATCAAAGATCATTCATAATGCAGAGACTTTTATTATGACAAAATAGGCAAGGTGTGAAGTTGAAAGATTTCAGCCTAATCCCATGGTATGGACTGTGCTGAACAGAGGCCTGCCTGCTCGTTTCAAAGCATGCCTTGGTTGAAATTACAAAGGCCTATTGGAAATAATTAGTTTATTCAACACAAATTGTATGACTATTTACCACCTTCACATGCAAACTCTGAAGCAATAACTTTAATTTTAATTATAATTTTCATAAACTGAATATGAAATTTTTCTGTCAACAAAATGGCCCAAAATATGTTCAAATGAAATACCACTCACTTAAAATTTGGACCATTTGGGTTTTTAACTTAAACTCATCATAAACACTACAGCTTCATCTTTAAAGTGTCCTTTTCAGGTAATATAATAGACAGGACCATCCTATACTCACTTTTTAAAAATGATCTTGCCATATAGCCCAGCTGAAGAAGCTTTCTAAAAGGCCCCATCACTAAGCAATTACATATCTAATTGTTAGTAAAAATTATGCATTACTTTTTATTAATGAGTCCTGAGTTGCAGTATTAACTCTAGTTCCTTAGAGTGAATCAACACTCTTGTGCAGATTTCCAGGCTTCCCTCCACTCCCCTAGTAATCACAAGCTTTGAGACCATCTTTAGGTACAGTGCACTGTGACATTTATGCAAGTGAAGAGAAAGGTACTTAAGTGAAAGAGGTGAAATAGAAAAAAGAACACTAAGGGGATTCCAGGAGAGGCTCACAGAACAGCAATGCTTGACACAGGAGACAGCAGCTTTCAGGACTTACCTACAGTGCAGACTTTCTTGAAATCAGGGCAGCACTCCATGTAGTATTGACAGTTATAATCACAGTTGCAGGTGGCATCTCTAGAATACCCTTCCCCACATCTCCCTGCACAGCTTGATAAATCTAAAATTATACAATACTAGGGTAAACATGGCCAAACCACTTTTCATTAGAAAAGGAAAGATCTAATAAGAAGGACAAAGCCAATTGGAGAGAAGGAGTTTTGTCAATTGGAAAACGTTGGGCATGAACATCAGCCATAGTCCTTGCTGTTATTTGGCTGATCTATGCAACCTTAGTCATGTCACTTTATTCTTCTATAGACCTAAAAAGAGAAATACACCTTTGAAAATCAGGCAGTCATGGCTTTGCACCATGGGCAGTCACTACTGCTGCTGCTCCAGTGATTACCAGTGCCATTTATTGAGCCATTCTGTGCCAGCCACTGAGTCATGCATTGTCTCTAATGCTTATGAAAATGTTTCCGGGAGAGTATAGTAGCCCTTTTCATAATTTTTTTAAAAACCAAAACAAGTTTTAATAACTTGCTTAGTGGCACACAGCTAGTTACTGCTTTCAATATATATTTAGTATAGATCTTAATTACTTGTACTGACCTCCTCACTCTTGTAAGTGTCCTGATTAGGATAATAAATTATATGATCATTCTATGTAAACAGATCTTTCAGAATTTGAACTCTGATGTCTCTGATTTTGAAGCTTGAGGTTTTTCCACCCAATCACATTGCCTCTCATTCCCAGTGATGAATTTAAAGAAAGAGATTATGCCAGCACAGTCTTAACTGGGTGTTTGCCTTCTTTTTTGGTAAGAACACCAGAGAACCCTTGAAATAGCATCTGGGCATGAATATAAAGGTCATGAAAGGTCTTCTGGCAAGCAAACAATAACGAAGGCATAATTATCCTCAAATATTTCTGAAAATCGTCTGGAAAACACCTTTAAAGCCTCCTTGAAAGATAACCACAGGAATGTAATAACAATGGAATCAATCTCTGAATAGAAATTGGCAGGTTGAAAGGTCCTAAATCCATAGAGGGATGTTAAAACACACTGAAAAAATCTCAAAAGAAGAGAATCCAGGAGAATTAAAGTCTTAATATTCAAATAAAACAATAAAGAATAGATAACTTTCAGAACTTTTTGCATACATGCATACATACATACATATATACATATATATCTGGACAATACATACAAAAATGCATATATAGCATATGTATATAAATACATATATATAAAGAAAAAAGAATGAGAATAGGTTGAGAAGGCAAGAGAAGCAGACAAAACATCAAAAGATTATTCTTTTACACTTGGTAGATTTCTGAAATAAATCAATTATCTTTACAGGAAAAGTTAATTTTCATAGATACCTGCTTTATTTTCACTGCTATTAATTTTAACCACCAATTTCAGTTTTATTTCATTGAAAGGAAAGTAAAACTTTCAGTGAACAGGCAGCATTATCAGAGAGCAAAAGGTGGTTTAGGAAATGCACCCAATGTTGTGAGTCACACAAGAGAGCTGAGGGTCTGGAATACAAGAATAGTCATCAGTCCTAATTAAATATTTATATTTGCTTTCCTATGTTTTCTTTCTTATCTGAGTGATTCTGTAACTAAGCCTATGCAGGCAGTCAGCTCTCGTGTTCAAGTTTCATGAGAATTTTAGTTATTTTACCTGAAATGTCTACGTTAGAAATTTAACATCACAATAACAATCATGAGATTTGGTTTTCCTTCTCTCAAATTTGGCATGTCGAAGGGAAAGGGGAAAACCGAAAGCTGTTGTTACCACTAAACAACCTAAATCTCATACTAGAGACTTTTACTAATGTGATTATATTGAATATATGTTAACATTCTCTAAAAAAGAATAATGAGAATTATTCATCCAGGACTGACTTTGGGGAGGATTGTGAATATTATAATACAAAATGATTCTCATCTGCCATAAACCAATATCTGGGTGAATAGTCCTTGTAAAACAAAAACAATGTGAGTGTTCATTGTAACATGATACCTATATATGCACAATGCCAAAACAAGTTACTTCTCCATGATTTATTTGGTGTAAAAGCCTGATTAAGTTTGTCAATATGTCCACCAAAAATTATCTGCCACCTAAGTATTGTTCATTTCAGTTATTCGATCATACTGTATCACTCCAGCATAGTCTTGTTTGTATTTTTAAACTTTTTGTGAAAACTATGGGATAGAGTACCAAAACTATCACTTATAAATATGCTATCTATGACTTAATTGTAAAAGTTGTAAGGTTTGAAACTCAAGCAAATATAAATTTTTAGAAATACATTTTTGTTGTCATAAAATCAAAATGGAATGATTAGTAATAGTTGTTAAATAAAACTATTTTTGATAGTTCAGGTACCTTGAGACGAAACTTGCTGCATCAAGAAAACAGAGAGCAGCAGCAACAAGCAAAGGGGAAGTATTTTCCACTCCATGGTTGTCTTCAAGTACAGCACCCTGGCTGGAGTAAAATAAGTATCAGAAAACTGTTCTTTAATTTTACCACTAACTAAGATTAAAGTGTGTGTTACACACTATGTTTCAGTAACTTGCAAAATGTAATTCAATAATAAAGTTATCCTTTCAACAAGACTTTTAAAGTAATCAACTTGAATTCTAGAGAAAATAATTTGACCACTGTATTTAATCTTATGCAGAATAAGTCATTAAGCTACTTCAGTCATATTATTGGCCATTTTAATACTTTAAAATGATCTCCAAAATTGAAAACAGGATCATCTGAAAACTCAATTGAAGCTTGTACTCACCATGCAAGGTTTAAATCCTATCTTGGGGGAAAAAATAATAACCAGTTTCAGTAAAATTTAATTTAACAAGCTTAGTGGAGCTATTATCCCAACCTTCCCTTAACTCTCAATATAAATTTATAGGCTTCCAGCAGGTGTATTACATAAATACAATACTTTAAATTTTTTTCAACTACTATCCTTATAAATCTTTTTAAATCATCTTTAATGAAAACGCATTTAGTTCTACAAAGCAATAACTTTGACACTTACCTGTAAAAGGATAGATGAATTTCTCCAATGTCCTGGAAACCTTATATATCAGTGCAAACATACTGGGATGAACCAATTAGTCCAAAGGTTAGACAAAATCAACAGTGACAACCTATGAAATCAAGCTTTCCTCATTTATTGGAAGAGGGCCCAGACGACTAGACTTAGGCAACATCTGGAAAACACTTCCATTAAGAAAAATGACTACTACAAAATAAATTTAGATTTATTAGCCAAAACACATTTCTAATTTCTAAGTGTAGTGAACAAATTGTCCTGAGATGGTAAATCACTCTGGCAGGCTTTGACTAATGTATCTAAGTAACAACTTTAAAATAGTTAAAAGATTTTTTTCTCTCTTTCTTGTTTTCTTGCTTTCTTTGTTATTGTTAGCTGGTAGCAAAAATTTTCTGAATTTATACCAATAAATCAAATAGACACTTCTTGAGTACATTTTGTAGCACAGAAAACATTTTCTCAGTTAGCTACAGGTAAATTATCCACACTGGATTTTCTTGCTTCCTTTACTATGTAAAAACCTGCTTTAAAAACTGTATTGAAACTGTATTGAAAGTTCATCATGGTGCCGCACACCTGGAGTTCCAGCAGGAGACTGAGGCAGGAGGAGCATTTGAGCCCAGAAGTTCAAGACCAGTCTGGGCAACAAAGCAAGACCCACATCTCAAAAACAAACAAAACTGTACTAATATTTCCCTTGGCCCCTGCATTTAAGATCAACAGTGTTTAAATGAGATCTTTTAAATAGCTATTTTAGTCACACAGAAAATGTGAACCATCAACCTGACAGATAAATCAGCTCAGCCTAAGGATTTACCCCATTTTGATACGGCATATTTCTAGTCAGATCTTACCTTTCAACATAAGTTCTTGCTCATGGTCTATCACTTCCCTAAAACCTTTCCAGATCAATCCAGATTAAATCTAGGATTATAGTCAACAAATTGTACTTCCTTTTTTTTACATTTCTTGTTTATTTGTCCCCCACCTCCAATAGACTTGGATTTCTCTCAGGACACCCAAGACCTACATCTTAATTCTATTGCCACCATCAGCACAGGCTTTCACCAAAGTTCTTCTTAACACATGCTTGTGAACCAAGCTGTTCCAGCCTGGATCCTGCCATGTACTATGTATTTGTAGATGCTGCATTTAATTTTCACAAATTGCCTGTGAGTAAAATATTGTCATCTATATTTTTCAAATAAGAAGATGAAGACCCACAATGAAGAAGTTGTGACCCATCCAAAGACCAATAAGGATTAGAAAACAGGACCAAGATTTAAACCCATGACTTTACCTTTTAAATTCCATTGTATTTCTGATTATATTCAGCTCTCTTTTCATCAAAATTATCATTTCAGTACATAATTATTGCACTAAGTTTTACTCCTTCCTTTTTACATATAGTTTTATAACACTGTGAACTTTTTAAAGGCACAGATTATAATACAAATGTCCCTTTGTTCTCACAATTCTTATTTCTAGACTAAGTGTATAAAGAATTTAGAGACTATCTGTGCACCTTTTGATAGGTGTGGATGGGAAGGTAGTTCTTTGAGAACTACCTTCCCATCCACAGGGGGGTTCCCCTTTAGCTACAGTTGTGTGTATGGTTTTGCACCATAAACCATAGCTGCTAGGATAAGGAACAGAACTTTGAACTAAACTGGGCCTGTATGTTTCCCTCTCCTAGAAATTTAGAATTAGGGTTCAGTCTGTCTGTCCATAGAGACCTGTAACATGAAAGCTTCTGTCCATAGGCTAAAGAAATGACGTCCTTCAGAAGAAAGAAATGCAAATGAATAAAGTAGCCACACAGAAAGATTTCCACTAACTTTCTAGTTTCTTGCTGTTTTTGTTTGTTTGTCTGTTTATGACAGGATCACTATGCAGTCCAGGTTGACCTCAAACTCACTGTGTAGTTCAGGCTGGCCTTGATCTCCAGATTCTCCTGCCTCAGCCTTCTGAGTTCTGGGATTACAGACATGTACCACCATGCCTAGCTCTTGTTTTGTGTTTTTATGGTAAATTCATCCTTTGGAGTTGAAGCTGGCTAAAGATGTTTTTGCCATTTGAAATCACTAATCAATTCATAGTAGATACACACACAGGAAAGATTCTGCTGGATGGATTGGACCAAATTCTTTTAATTCTTAGGTTTACTGAATTAAACAGAGGGAAGCAGAAGCTTTATAAATTTTTCAAGTCAGACCTTTACACAATTGCTTCATTACTTGCTTGGTCTGAATAAAATATAAGAATGACATTTCTTTTTGTATTTTTTGTTGTATTTTTGAAAAAAGTTCTTGCTATATAACTTAGACTGGCCCCAAATTCCCAATCTTCCTGCCTCCACTTCCCAAGTGCCAAGGTTGCAGATGTGTGTCAGTAAGGCCAGCTCAGACACATATTCTTAAATAAAACATAAATCGCTCTCTGATTACTGCCTTCTGAAATACTATTTTCTTCCTTTGTATGAAATTCATTATAATGGTAGCAAATGACATTTTTAATTGACTGAATAATTATGCACTTGTTTTTAAGTCCAACTTCCAGGAGTGAAAAACTAACAAAGAAAATACACCTACACACATTTTATAGCCAATGTAAGCTGTAACTTTAAGAATATCCATTAACATATGCTTATTGTTAATACATTTTATCTGCATAATAAAGTATGGAAAATCTCAGTTTATTATGTTTACCTAGTTGCATTTACCTAAGATTCACCTAATTATATTGGATAATGAGGCAATGTGAGTCAAGTTTACCTTTGGAGTGTGGAAACCTTTTATCTTTAAGTATATCTTTATAAACTGTACTAGATGCTCCATTCTGCAAGTATGGGGCCATTTAACCTTCCTCATCAATCACGTAATTATTCCATTAGCTTATAAGTTCTCCATTTGAGGTTTCATTTCTCGTTACAATATTTTGTTATTGCTTATTTAAATTTTGCTTAATTGATATAAAAGTTACCCCAAGATTGATTTTTTTGGGTGGTACTGGGGCTTGAACTCAGGACCTCATGCTTGCTAGGCAGCGCTCTACCACTTGAGTCACTCTGCCAGCCCCTAGTATTGATTTTTGGTGTAGAGGAGATGGCAAGAGTAGAGAAAGGGATGGAGAGGGCTTAGACAGTATTGTATACCACACTGGTCTTGTAAGGATGATTTTCACACAGCTCACACTCACCAGCATCAGCTTCCACACTGGCAGCAGCACAGTAATGCCTTCAGAGAATATTCAAGGGTTATTAGGGATATTTTCTTTGCTTTAGATTATCTCTACTTGGTTTGCCCTGCTGTTAGCTTGTCACCTTCTGTAGCTAGAGTGTCTGTGCCTAGTGGCTTCCCTCCACCTTTCCACATTGTTGCTGTGTTTCTTTCCTTCCATAGCAGCCTAGAACAAACTGAAGTATGCAGAGGAAAACCACAGAGACAAGCTTGTTCTTTACCGGCCTGGTCTGTACACAATACTACGTTTGCATTTTCTAGAGGTGGAATAACTCCTTTCCTCTCATATGGAGCAAAGACCAGATCTGTGGGACTACTTCTGTCCATTCTGTTCAAGGAATTTAACACACTGAAAAGGATTGGGGGGTTTTTCCTGAATGTTTGATCAAAGTCTACCATAAGATCAAAGTATGACTGTATTTGCTTTTGAGGATTGTGGCAGTCTGATAATTGGTCTGAATCTTTTCTACTTCCCATCAGATAGGTGTGACCTTATGACTGTATTTTCTCTGATGAAATATGAATAGAAGTGATATAACTTCCACTCTGTTTCCTAGCAAGAAACTGCTTGACCTGAACATCCTTTCTTCCCACTTCTTAAAGACTATAAGGCAGACACGACCTATGCAGACAAGGACAACACACTGAGGAATGGTATTCTTTGCGGGACCCACGTCCTAGCTCCCTCCTTGCACTAGTCATGAGGCTTTATAAAAGGAAATAAACTTCCATTTTATGTGAACAACTTCAATTTGAGGTTCTTTTGAAACAGAATTCTAATGCAGAAATCATAAGAATTTCCCAAGTGTTTAAGGGAATTAAATTCTAAATGATTTGTATACTATACAGCAATGTAGAACATGCCTTTTTTTCAGTAATAGGGTTTGAACTCTTGCATTTGCTAGACAATCAATCTACCAGTTGAGGCACACCATCTGCTCCTATACAACAATACAAATGAAGGAACTATTGGTAATGAACTCTTGACACTGGAAAGGGGAGGTAGACTATGTTTATTTACAGGGGTATGATTGTGGATGTAGAAGAGCCGAAGAATCTACAAAAAGCTCTAAAAGATAATGAGTGAGTTGATCAAGATTACAAAATATAAGATTATTCAAATCTCTGTCTCGTAATTTTCTACCTACTGGGCTGATA